TTTAAAGGAAACAGCTAACATGGAGCCTAAACAAGTCTCCCTCAAATTTCAAAACCTATAATTTGTCCAATGGGATGAGCAATTTGCAAATAAAATTTTCGATTTTGAAAGAACTAGTAAAAAGTCTTTTATATATGCACGGCAAACTTTATATATTTGATCCAATTACAAAAGAAAAAGTTCAATTCAAAAATGGATTAGCACAGGGCTTAGTTCTCAGTCCCTTTTTATTAAATCTATTCTTCCATTTTTTAATTGAATCTTTCAAAACTGAAATCAAAGAGTATGAAAAAAGCCTTAGTAAAAGATATTATAAAAGAAAAAGACTATTGATCTACTTATAATATCAGGAAAACTAAATACATCGCGAATTAGAGAAACTAAAAATTAGAAGAGAAATAAATCTAAAAAGTTGACAATATCAGATATTTGGGACTAAGAATTAACATTAGAGGAGAATTCATCTCTAAGGAAATGTTAATTAGAAAGGATATATGAGTAACTTAAATCTGGTAATAGAATGGACAAATAATTAGCTTTTGAACCCAAATTATACTTAAACAAAATCTAAATTCCTATATATTAATAAATGAATTATTTTGATAATATCAATTAATCTTCATTAAAAAACCAAACCCAAAAATAAGATAGTTTAGAAATTGATGGATTTGATTGGGATTATTCAAATTATGTAAATAGAAAAATAAGAACTAAATTATTAATTTCTCACACAAATGAATAGGATCTAAAATACATATAAAATGGATCTATCCTGAGAATGTTTTGATATTCTTATTTATAAATTTTAGAGAAAAGATTTAAAGCACTTATTAGAAACCTGAGCTAATTAAAAATTTAGAATAGGTCAAACATCTGCAATGGATTGGGGAATATGGAAAAAACAACTTAAAGGTCGGTAATTGGAAAGTCTTTTGGAAGGGTGAAAATTTAGTGGATGTTGGTGGATAATACTCAACTAATGGTAAAAAATAAGGAAAATGGAAAGAAACAATTTAGAATTATTGGACGTAATTAGAAATCAAATTCTTTATTAGCAAAAATTAAGTATATTTTTTGGGGGAATATGAGAATGATCAAAGATAAGGCGTTTGGAGGTATATTTATGATGGAAAATACATGTATATTATGAAGTAGTAATTTAATTTAGAGGTGGAGGAGAGTATAATTTGAATGGTGAAAAAATTGGAATATGGGAGGAGTTGAGTGAAGCATTTTGGGATTTTAACTAAATCATTTATATTGGAAAATATTAAAGAGGGAAAAAAATTGGGAGATGGAAGAATTCTTTAATAAATGGTAATGATCTAGAAACAAATTAACAGATGTAAAATATTATCAAATACAGGTTTAGTTGGGGTGGAGAATATGATGAAGAAGGTACAGGCATTAAAAGTGGAAAATGGATTGAAATAAGTTAAATGTTTGAAAAACTATCATAAGTCATAGATATTGGTGAATATAAAAATGGTCAAAAGTCTGGTATATGGAATTATTTTTATAGAGATGATTACAAAAAATAATTTGAATAGATGTATAAGATTATTTCATTAAATTTTTTAGAGGTGGTGGTTCATATGATGAATAAAATTTAGGAATAAAGAATGGATTATGGATAGAATTGAGCGATGGGTTTGAAAAGCAATCTTAAGTTATTCATAAAGGAATATATACAAATGGTAAAAAATTTGGAAAATGGGAAATTTTGTATAGAGCGAATGGAATGGAATAATTTTAAAAGATGTTAATATTTATTCAACATATTTTTAGTGGTGGTGGATTATATGATTTGTAAGGTGAAGGTGTTAAGAATGGTTTTTGGATTGAATTGAGCGAAGATTTTACATATTATTCTTAAGTGACTTATTGTGGAGAATATAAAAAAGATAAAAAAGTTGGTAGATGGGATATTTGGTTTAATAATGGAAGTAATTAAAAGATGTATCATTTATTGAAAATTTTAATTTAGTGGAGGTGGATAATATTTGTAAATTAATGGCATGAAAATTGGAAAGTGGATTGAGTTGAGTGATGGGTTTTATAATGAATCTTAAGTTATTTTAAATGGTGATTATAAAAACGGTAAAAAAGTTGGGATATGGAACATTTATTATAGATAGAGAAATGTAGATTTTTTTAAATAGATGTAATTGTAAAATCTACTAAAATTTTTAGTGGTTGTGGATTATATGATAAAGGAGGTGAGGGCATTAAAAATGGTATGTGGATTGAATTAAGTCCTACTTTCGAATATTATTCGCAAGTTATCTATTATGGTGAGTATGAAAAAGGTAAAAAAGTTGGGAATTGGAATACTTGTTTCATTGAAAAGGACCTATTTGCTAGTTTTAATTAAAAATAGATGTAAATAAAGAAATAAAATCTTAGAGGTTTAGGTTCATATGATAAAGATGGAAATGGCATGAAAATTGGAATTTGGATTGAAATTAGTGATGGATTTTGGGATAACTCTCAGATCACTTATAAAGGTCAATATAAAAATGGTATAAAAGTTGGTAGATGGAACACATATTGGATATGGGATAAATAAAATAAATAGATGTAAAATATTGATTGAATAAAATTGAAGTGGTGGCGGATCTTATGATGATTCAGGAGATGGGATTAAGATAGGAAGGTGGATTGAGCTAAGAGATGGGTTTTATAATTTATCATAAGTTATTTATATTGGTGAATATAATAAAGGTAGAAAAGTATCTAGATGGGATATATTGTATAGTGAATATGGGAAAGAAGATTTTGAATAAATGTAAATTATTCAATAACTTTTCAGCGGTGGAGGAACATATGATGAGGAAGGAATGAAAATTGGGAGTTGGATTGAATTGTGCGATAATTTTGGAAATGGGTCCTTATAATCCTAAATCATCTATAGTGGTTAATATTAGAATGGATAAAAAGTGGGATAATGGTTTGAAAATAAAATAAATAATAAAGGTTGTGGAATGCGATATGATTAGGATTGAGTAATATCAAGAAAAATATTTGTTAAACAGATACCTTAATTTATTAGTCGAATTTATTGAATTTCTTTTGAAATTAAGATACTGTTCTCTTATTTTGTTTATAATTACAAATAGCTATGGTCATCTTATTATAATTTAAATTCAAGAACGATTTATAATTTTTGAAAATTAATGGAACAAAAATGAAAAAGATGAAAAAAATCAAATATAGCTATAACTTGAATAAATACAAAATAAAGTCTGTAGATCTTAATAAAAATTTAGATGTTTTTTTCTTTTTTATATATAATTCTCTTATAAATTTTGAATATTTTTGAAATCAGTCTGGCTGTTTTATGAAAAAACAAGTAAACCAAAAAGAAAAATTCGATTTGATAAATTTATTTCGATTTTTATGATTATTTTTTAATTTAATGATTGAAGTAATGATAAATGCAAACAGGCCATTAAAACGAATTAATTAATTAATTTTAATATATTGAAAGAGTATTATTAACTTATTATAATAATCTTGGCAAAATCAAAATCTGATTTCATTATTTGAATATGAAGAAGATTAAATAAAATTACATCGAACTAGTGAGCCAACACCAATTTTAATTTGAGTTCTGAAATTCCATATTTAATAAATTAAATTTTTCAATCAATATTTGAATTTTCTATTTTGAAATTCAAGTTATTTTATTGTAAAAACCTGACGAGTGTAAATTACAAAATTAAGTATTTGTGAAATCAGATTATGTTTATTTATTTTATTAGATAGAATCATTAATTTAGTAATTTGTTGATTTATCTAGTATACATTTAAATTACTAAAATTTTTGATTATCTTACACATCATACTTACTCACGATATTCATACTTAAATACTCAAATTATTTATTCATTTTTGCTTTTAAATGCTATCATAGATAAGTTGATTATATAAAATTCTATATAATTGAGTATTTTTATTAAAATAAAAGTTTGTTATACAATATAAATTTTTGGATAATAAGTAGTTTTTAATTTTTATTGGCTTAAATTAGTTTAAGAATTCTTAATATTATCGCCACTATTCCTAATGTTGATGCTATTTTAGAATTGAGTAAACTATTATTCTTCCTCAATCAGATTATTAAAAAATAGGATTGATTTATTTATTACATATTATAATTATAGTTTAATTAATTTGCTTTATATTAAATTAAATATAGAAATTACTATGTAAATAACAAGATAAAACCTTGTAATTTTTTAATTAAACCCATTTTTACCGTTATTAAATCTAAATATTACCAACATTTATTAAGTCATAATTATTAAGTGTTTCTCAAACTAAATATTGTAATATTCCTTCCTTAATTTATATTAAACGCTACTCAAAGAAATTCATTTTCAATTTATACTTTTGGATTAGAATTGATTTTTTATTGTTTTTTATGAGGTAAAAATAAAATCAATTATTTGTTTTTGTGTTACTGTGTCATTTATTACTGTTAATAATTTCAATTTTAGATATTATTGAAATAAACCTAATTATTAATGAATCTCAAGTCTGCTTTTTATTCAAATTACTTTCATCAAAATATTAACTTTCTTTTCAAATTGTTATTATTATTATTTTAACATATACTTAATTATCATAATCAAGTAGTATTTAATATCGAGTTACTAGGGTTATATATTGCTGGAAGTTTAGAGATTGTCTAACTCTAAGTCCTAGTGGAGTTCTCTAGGAACTGCACTATATATTTTAATTTAAGTTGTATAAGTATAATCCTCCTTAATATTTTATCCAAATTATAGTTATTAGTCGATGACGTAAAATAGAAAGTTCTGGAACCAGTAATTGATCGGGTAGGTATAGATAATATTTAGACAATCAGAGTAAGGCCCCAAATCTGTAATATGACCAGAAAAAAATTAAGGAGATTTTCCTTCATTTCACTCTGAATCTCAAGTTTTCTAGACCTCATTTACCTTCTGGCCAATGTTTGAAAGTTTCTCACAGTTCCCTGGCATGGTAATAGCTGGGGTGCTCTTCCTGTTTAGGTATTCTTCAGAATTCCGTGCAGAATGGATCCTGGTAAGAAATAATTACAAGATAATTAAAATAAATTGAATTGAAAAATATTTATGTATTATTAGAAAAAATATAGAATTTTAGTTATAATAAAATTATTTGTATATATGTTATAAAAGCAATTAATTTCAAACATTAAGATAGTAAAAAAATCTATTTATATAACTGAAATTGTAAATGATGTGTTATGAATTCATTTTTGAATAGTTATTCTTATAGTATTTTATTATTACATCAATAAATTAAAAATCAAGTATATCCTAATAAATAAATGAAATTAAATTATCAAAAAATAATGATAATTAATCTTTAAATTAATTATAATAAATATGTGTATATAAAGTATAATTTTTTTCCAAAAATGCACTATTGATATCGAATAGTATTTTTTGGTTAATAAATTAGAAAATTGTAATTGTACCAAACAGATCATTCAAATAAAAAAGATTGTCATATGGACTATTCTAAAAACAAAATATATTATTTATACAAGAAAAATCAAAATATAATATTTTTTACAAGATTTTAAACTAAATTTTGTTGGTAAAAAGAATTAGCCTTATTAATCACCCCTTAATCTAACATCAATATCTTAACGGTATTATTTATAGATTTTGCAGGATATCTAATCACCAAATTCATATAATAGAGAAAGAATATGGAAAATTGTAATTCTAAAGAATTTAAATTTCGATTTAGATTATAATCATTATTCCATTAATGTTAAATATTAATATGCTTTGCTTTGCATCTAGTATCTTATTTATAGTATTTTTCTTAAATTAAACAATTCTCTATTTTGTTTTTTTAAACTTAATCATGATGAATAAAGAGTTCAAGAGTATCATTTAATGAAAATAATTTTATTTAATATGAAAACAATGATCAACTAGAATTATTAGACTAGAATTTAGATGAATTAGAATATATCAATTATATTTACAAACAAAATCAGATGGGCAATTAATAATAAAAATTAGTATTAGTCCTTTTTTTGAGTCCTCCTTGTAGAACGCTGTATGAATATAACATATTTGGGTAAAGTAATATAATAATAATAGGGAAGCAAACATTGAATGGCTTTTAATAAATAAAAATATAAAAATTCTATTAAATAGTTTTTATTCTATTCTATTAATATATAAATAATTAAACATTTTTCAATTTTTAAGCTTGATTAAATAATTATTAATTTACAATCATTTCTTTCTCTAATAATCTTGTGTTTGAAATAAATAAATCATTCTTTTATTTTAATTAAGTTTTTTTATTTAAACTTAAATTCATGCATTTTTATTANATTTATGTATTATTAGAAAAAATATAGAATTTTAGTTATAATAAAATTATTTGTATATATGTTATAAAAGCAATTAATTTCAAACATTAAGATAGTAAAAAAATCTATTTATATAACTGAAATTGTAAATGATGTGTTATGAATTCATTTTTGAATAGTTATTCTTATAGTATTTTATTATTACATCAATAAATTAAAAATCAAGTATATCCTAATAAATAAATGAAATTAAATTATCAAAAAATAATGATAATTAATCTTTAAATTAATTATAATAAATATGTGTATATAAAGTATAATTTTTTTCCAAAAATGCACTATTGATATCGAATAGTATTTTTTGGTTAATAAATTAGAAAATTGTAATTGTACCAAACAGATCATTCAAATAAAAAAGATTGTCATATGGACTATTCTAAAAACAAAATATATTATTTATACAAGAAAAATCAAAATATAATATTTTTTACAAGATTTTAAACTAAATTTTGTTGGTAAAAAGAATTAGCCTTATTAATCACCCCTTAATCTAACATCAATATCTTAACGGTATTATTTATAGATTTTGCAGGATATCTAATCACCAAATTCATATAATAGAGAAAGAATATGGAAAATTGTAATTCTAAAGAATTTAAATTTCGATTTAGATTATAATCATTATTCCATTAATGTTAAATATTAATATGCTTTGCTTTGCATCTAGTATCTTATTTATAGTATTTTTCTTAAATTAAACAATTCTCTATTTTGTTTTTTTAAACTTAATCATGATGAATAAAGAGTTCAAGAGTATCATTTAATGAAAATAATTTTATTTAATATGAAAACAATGATCAACTAGAATTATTAGACTAGAATTTAGATGAATTAGAATATATCAATTATATTTACAAACAAAATCAGATGGGCAATTAATAATAAAAATTAGTATTAGTCCTTTTTTTGAGTCCTCCTTGTAGAACGCTGTATGAATATAACATATTTGGGTAAAGTAATATAATAATAATAGGGAAGCAAACATTGAATGGCTTTTAATAAATAAAAATATAAAAATTCTATTAAATAGTTTTTATTCTATTCTATTAATATATAAATAATTAAACATTTTTCAATTTTTAAGCTTGATTAAATAATTATTAATTTACAATCATTTCTTTCTCTAATAATCTTGTGTTTGAAATAAATAAATCATTCTTTTATTTTAATTAAGTTTTTTTATTTAAACTTAAATTCATGCATTTTTATTATATATATATAAATTCATTTAAGCTTATTTTAGTAGATTTTTGAATAACTTCTTATTTATAAAATCTTTCTAAATACCTTCATAACTTATCATGATTTTTACAGATAGTCTTGCTAAATATGTGCTACTAAACTTCTGAAATATCTTTACAATCCGATATTATTTTTTGTATTCATTCATGATTTACTCTTTATAAATAAAGATGTTGAGATTTTATAAAACTTAATCTTATTGTTTTCACCATACTTCTATAAACGAAGTTAAAAAAATGCTTGATTATAATCTACTATTTTGCATTGTTAAAAGAATTAAAATAAGCTTTTAAAAAAGAAATAAGTGTGATTTTCTTTAAATTATTAAAGTTAGATTTTTAGTTTATTTCATTT